TAAGGTCGTCGCTTATGCTTTTTCGCGTCGGCCCGAGTTTGAGCCGACTGCTCAACCAACAAGAGGGATGTTCCCACTGTCGCAACACTATCAGCGAGTGTTCCGTCGTCGAATCTGCAACGATGTGCGGAAAGCAGACGCAGAAGAAGAGTCTCCTCTGCGATTGATGGATTACGTATCCAATCCGTGCAGTCAAGCTTTGAAATGCTTGACGTCTCAATAGCGCACTTCAACCGAACGGTATTCAGTTCGTGATGGAATGCTGTACTATACAGCAGTCACTGGCGATACACCTCGTGTTGCCGTCCCCGCTTATGATGACTTGCGATTGCGCATCATGTATGAGTCTCAAGATGCCCCAACAAGTGGGCATCGCGATATAGAAAAGACTTACATCACGGTAAGTCGTGACTTCTACCGGCCCCGCCAGTATGAGTTTGTGCGCAGATACACCGCGCTTGCGAAGTTTGCCAGCGCATGAATCCTATTTCTTCATCCCGCGCACCCTTGCAGCCTCTACCTATTCCGGCAGAGTGCTGGCAGTCCGTATCGATGGACTTTGTCTTTGGGTTTCCCACAGACGTTTACAAGTTTACTGGTATTCTTGTGTTTGTTGATCGGTTCAGCAAGGTGACACATCTTGCTGCTGTACCGAAGTCAATTGCATACCAGGGATATGCTCGTGTCTTTATCGATACTATCTTCTAACTTCATCGAATACCCGGTGAAAACGTGTCTGATAGGGACCCCCACTTACGGCGGAGTTCTGGCAATCCGTATTCCGTTCACTTGGAACACGTTTGAACATGTCACCTTCTGACTATCCAGAAATAGATGGTCAGGTGGAACGCGTCAACCGCGTCCTCGAAGAAATAATTAAAGGGTACGTCCACTCGTTACGAGTTGGAGTGAGTTCTTGCCGATGGCAGAATTTGCCATCAACAACTCGGTGCATTCGTCGACAGCGCTATACACCGTTCTTCGTGAATGTCCTACGCCATCCACGTCTATTCGCCTTCTTAGAGTGTGACATTGTTTTAAGAGGGGTGGAATCGCTAGAACAAAAACTGATCTGATTCTTGCTTATCAATCGACAATGTTGTCAACCTGATGAATGCTGATGTCGATCACATCGACACCGATGACGATGATGACGATGATGCTGGGATATTAAGCATCTCCAAAGGTTGCCACAGTGAGGACGATGAAGCCCTTATTGGTGAAGACAACGCTCTTTCAGCGGTGCACACGAAGCGCACTGCTGTTGACAAGGATAATGTAGCAGAGTAATTTTTGCTGACTCTCGAAGCGGCTGTCCGTTTTGTCCAAGATTCTTTTGCAAATGCACTAGACAGACAGAAAAGAAACGCAGTCAAACATGGAAGAGCAAACGTTCTTCAGGGAACCTTAGTTTTAATGTCAACAGTAAACCTACCAAAATACACAGCGACAAACGTGAGCAGCAGTAAATTACTGCCCAAGTACATCGGTCCATTTCGTGTGTTGCGCCTAATGGGCAACGCATACACAGATGAACTGCCCCGTAGGATGCGTGCGCATCGTACGTTTTACGTTGGTCGTCTGCGCCCGTACTATCAGTACGAGCCCGTTTCGAGATGCGAAGAACACCCCGCGGTCGAGGGCCGAGACCACCTTCGAGTGGTCCCGTTTCAACGAGCCATTCTGGTCGACTAGCAAAGAGACCTACTCACGCAGCTCAGCGATGTATCGACGAGCAGCAGCCAGCTCATCACGAAGAAAATGATTCGAACGTTTCTTCTCAAGTTGCGCAAACGCAAATGCGGCACGATCGTTCGAACGATCGTGTACTTTTGAATTTTAATTATTCTTTACAAGATCATGGGGTTCATAACGCCGAGTCCGTTCATGAGCCAATTTAACGTGTAACTGTTCCGTTACACGGTTCAGTTCCTGAACATCAAGCTGATCCGACCCTCGAGCCAGATCAAGTGTTCCCGCCAAAACCACATCCTTTGGTAGATTCTGGCGGTGGTCAACGCTTTATGGTGGAGATTATCGTGACCCACCGCGAAGTGAATGGCGTCCGGACGAGTTACCTCGTCCGCTAGCGTGGCTATCCACCATCCTGGGAAAGCTGGGAGCCTCGTGTCTAGTTAAATGCTGATATTCTGGGTCTCGTCGAGCAATATGACGAGACCCAACCGCTGCGTTCGAAGAAGGGTTGTCGGAAAACGACCCCACCCCCGAACGCGAGTACAGATAGTGCAAAGTGTCAGTCCGTTCGGCCATCATAGAAAAGATGCGCGCCCTCCAGTAGGGATCATTAGGGAGGTAGGCCTCCCAAGGGGCACGATTCGAGTGGTCCAGGCAACTTAAACACGAATCACTTAACAAGAAACAGGGTAATCCTGCCTCTCTTGACAGTCGGTGCAACTTTTATCGTACCCTGACTGGATTGCGCTTTTCTAACACGACGCGAGCTGCATCAAATTTACCAAGCCAGGCCTCACGACCAATGCACTCGATGTTATGGATAAAGGCACTCCATCCTCTTACCAAGGCCTTACCGCCTCGACAAGATTGCCATTATACCACCGTTGTTTAAACCGCGCATCGGTGAAGAACTCTTCCTCAGCACGGATTGATTCCGTGCTGGAATTAGGATGACAGATCCTTCTACAGTCGAACAACGAGATTCAATCCCGTTCGGTAGTCATGCCGGCCACTCTATCAAAAATGTTTTATATGCACCCAACAAGACTACAGTTGAGGAGCGTGGTGCAGGACATTTTGGTCCCTGGCCTTTTGAGTGGTGTCAGTATGGGCACTGACATCAGTTACAGATCGATCTCTCAAGTTGCTTCTCTTGTGGTGATGCATAGGGACATCACCACCATCAACATGCGTACTATCTTCGGATGGACTTGCGTGAGGCGAGGATTCATCAAAAGAATCGCTGAGTCCGAAGATCTCGGACATGATGCCACCACGTCCCCCAGAGCCATTCAACATGGCCCTTGCAGTGTCCGCCCCGGATGATCCGGAGGCGTGAGGTGTCGCGTTCGAGTTGGATGCATCATCTAACTCGCCAGAATGGATGAGCTCAGTTCCTGGCTCATCTACACTGCGATTCTTAGTACCCTCTGCAGACGCAGCGGATGTACCTGTCTCACGTGGTGACGCACCACGTGGACTGTTCGCAGCAGGGACCGCCTGTTGAAGAATCGCAACAGTAGGCAAATCTGCTGTTGAAGCAATAAAAGGACTCCCTTCGGCTGCAAGCCTGCGTGTACAGCTTTTCTTGCTGCTTCGGCAGCACAGCGCATGAACTTTGACACCATGCGAAGAATTGGCAAATGGGTTGGGATTTAGCCAACAAGTGCTCCTCTTCCAAGAGTGATTCAATGGTGGTCACCCTGTCCCAATCAATTCTATTCAATCAACGAGTAATTGAGGGTTAAGAAGGGGGGGATGTAACGGGGTAGCCCGCTACATGATATTGACATCTAACGGTGTCAAAATGAATATTGTCCAGAGCGACAATTCCCTGCCGATGTTACCCGATAATAGATGCTAATAAAGAAAATTTACAACCTTGTAGGATATATTCGTGCGCTGCTCAAAGATTGTTTGATGAAAGCATATCGACCATAGACTACCACCATGTGCTACTGGACGCGCGTAATGAGTAATGAGCAGGTTGTCGTCGTGCGACAGTGTAGATTGACATAGTTAGATGAAGACTGAAGTTAAATTGATGGCTTAACTATATTAAAAAACAGTTCTCTTTTTACCCTTTACTCAACTTAGTCGTTGAGTAGATTAGCTTTCTCTGCACTTACTAGTGTACGTGAACTTTCGTGGCACCCGGACAAAGGGTGCCCCGTTACATACATACCGTGAGAAGGTCGGAAGATCTGGACTTCCATTCATGGGGCGAACAAGCAAGTGTTCTTTGATGTGTCCTGTGTTCCAAAACCTAAAATGGATAAGTGACGCTGGAGCGGCAGAAACTCATCACTTGTCCTAAAACATCTTAGCTCTATAGTACTATAAAAAGGTCATCGAGGGTAACCGCGTACCCGAAACCTGGAAAACAAGAGATGAAGTAGTTCCCGAGAGGAAGAAGGTATGCACTTCAATGCGTTTTCCGCTTGATGCGAGCTGCTTTGCGCTTAGGCAGCTCCTTCCACTTATTACTTTGTCCCGGTTGCTTATGGATTGTCACGCGTTTGACTCGCATTCTTGACACAGCCTGTATTTTTGGACGAAAATATCACCAGCGTTAACAGCTCATTCTGAAGCGTTTCACAAACGTTTCTTGCCCATTTTAATGCAGATGCCAAAGAAGCATCCTGGTATTTGTCTGATCGTTTTCTAGAGATGAAATAGCTACAAACTGATTAATATTAGACAATGGAAAAACAGTCATGTTTATCGTCAGCTTTATTCTTGCTTAAGGCTCAGATTAGCCGTTCTTACCAAGAAACATAACTTCAGATACAAGCACATAAGCGATCGGTGACGGCCAGGGAGGCGCTGCACGTGACAGATGATCTTTGGAAACATAGGGCACATGAAAAGGTGTCTTCACTCTCGTTTTTGCTGGCGAGCGCTTTTACCAATGCCCCAAATAGCTTGCATGAGACGATGAATTGCCAAATAGACCAGACCAAGAAAAGAGCTGAATGTTAGCCAATCATATTGTTTCGTGTAGCTCTCATAACGTTTTAGCCCGTAAAGAAATGAGACAGAGTAGTGCTCGATATATCGCGCTGATGTCCGCCGCTTGGAAAGTTGCCAGTCAACGTACCCAGCCGCCAATAATAATTCAGAAAAGGTCACAAACATATCAAGATCAACAAATTGTGCAAAGAAAATGTATTGAAAAGTGATGCAATCATAAAATGCAGGGCCGGTTTGTCCATCTGGGGAGATTATGGACCTTAAAGCTCGTAGCAAAGCGCGAATACGAATGGAAACTGGCATGCTGCCAATGACAGCATCACGGGGTCGTCTCACCAATAGTCGGACGCTTTCTCTAAGTGTGACTTGAAGCTTGAATTGCTCATGGGCATGAGGTCTTTGGGCCAGAGGACAGTATTGAACGTAATGCGAGCATTTTCCGTCATCTGCTCCCACATGATCAGTGGCTGGAACTCACCAGCCAAATGCGTGAGGCTGAGCGTGCGTTCATAGCTGTTTAACCTCCCATAGTCGAGTTTGGGACTCGATCCGTCCATAAACACCGGACCAGGGAGGGGTAGAGTCCAGTAATTTGACTTGCGGCCGTCCCATATCGACACCGCCAGAAGCTTCTGGTGAGTTACTGCAGGATTGTCAAGCCACACGACAATGTGCTCCCAGTCATGACGGGCACCTTCACGGTTGTCTTTCGGGAAGTACCAGGCGTACATAATCGCCCACTTGTCCTTGCACCAAGCCGAGCGTCCATAGACTTGAGACCCGTATCCGGATCCCTTGCATTTGCCACTATTGGGTCCAGATGGTTTGAGACCGCGGCTGAACTCTCCCTCCGCGTTCACAGCAGGGTACGAGTGGCAGCCGCTGGTAATGTGAAGCTGCGGTTTGAACTTCAGAGCCGCTACAGCGGTATAGGAGTTATCACCAACCACTTGCGCGAAAGGCTGCACTTGGTTGTGTTCTTTCGACCTCATCACCCACGGTGTCGAGGGCGTTGAAGGTGCGGGAGTTGACGAGGGAGTCGGTGCAGGAGTTGGTGCGTGGGTGTGAACAGGAGGTGAGACATAAATGACGGTCGGCGGAGCAGGGGCAGGGGCAGGATCCTTTTTCGAGCCAGTGTAGACTTGCTCCACCAAATCCGAACTGTCCGAGTACAGATCGTCAACGCTGCTTTGCTTGACGGCCATCTTAGATGGTGCATCCTCGGCGTGGGTCACAGCTGCAGCGAACAGAGCGCCGTACAAGAAGAGACCGGTCTTCATCGAAGCTGGTGGTCGAGTCTCGGAGGGGACGCGAATTGCACAATGAACTGAACTGCACCGCTGTCGAAGAAAGCAAAAAGCGACACGTTGTTGGACCGTATAGCAGGAGGTCCATTGTTCTGCGATACGTCCGTCGACACATCATAAGATAAAGGTACCGCCCCCGTCTTTCACATCATGAAGTGTGCCGCTGGCTTTAAAGATGCAGAGGTGTAGCCAGCTACATTTCACATCACGTGAGTGAGGATAGCCCTATGCAACTCTAAAAGCTTGAAGCACGCTTCTTGCATTTGATGCACAGTGGATTGTATCATAAAACTGAGACTAAATTGATTTGGAATGCAAGTGCCACATATGGAATATAGAGCTCAGTTCAGAAGACGTACGCGTCTTTCGTTGATTGCAAAAAATGATGCATCGGGTCTCGATTTGATCTACGTTTACTATTATTCTTCGATTCAGTAAGGTTAAATGATGTGTTCGATGTGAAGAGCTATAAATTTTACAGGCAAGAGCCATCATTTGATAGGGGATCTTTGTTTTTCTGTTCTGCAACGTTGTAAACTCCAAGAGTTTTTCATTTTCCGATTGTTCCGATTAAACGAGACACGTCACCGCATCCAGTTTTCACGCCTCCTGTAAGCAACTAGCGTAGATTGACGATGAAGATAACAACTGAATAAAGATGTAAATTGTAGAAAATAATGCAAGGTAGGAGTCCTGGTCTACCTGAAGCTTCTTTGTGTCCTCTTAACATATCGTCATCTTGTAATTGTGTCGCATGCAAAGCACACCTGTATATACGCTTGAGCAGGTTGACGAGCTGACTATGTGCTAGCCGAAAAGGAGCTACTCTGAAGGAACAGACACATTCGTTGGGATGAACCCTGGTAAACCTCAATCATAGGCATGGAAATACCTCGCGAGTGAATGACCACGCTTTGACAATCGTCTGTTGTCCAACTCACATTCTCGTGACCCATGATGCACTTGTTTTTGTCGGCCCTCACCTAAAGTAGAGGGGTATTCACACGTTTTACGCAGCGAGCATATCTACTAGAACAAAAGTCCACTGAATCAAAAAGAATAGGATCAATCAAAATTGCTCTTTAATAAGAGGGGTTGGCTCTACACAAATCAAGTTTGACAGCTCCCTTTGGATCGTTGCACACGCTTTGTAGTTTACCGGAAGATGCAAAAAACATGCTACGCATCACACTCGGCGATCACTTGCGTACAGACGCTATCGGTGCAAACTGCCCGAGCAGATCGCGCCTGCGGCTAAAACAACTTTGGTCGCGTGCATGACAAAGGAGCTTCATGACCGCCCTTATTGGTTTGTAACGTGTGCAAGATGTTTAAAATATAGCCATGCCTAATGACAACAGCAGCGACCACGTTGCAGTGGAAGCTAAGTAGACGCTCGAGCGTCTTGTTTAACGTCACTGTCAATGTGTTGAGTGGTTGTTAGATTCATATTGCAAGCAGCTGTTAGGGCTTGGTAGATTGGCTTCTCGGATAATCTTCTAGGCTGCTTCTTTTGCTTGAACTAGCTGGCTAGCCGGCTGTAGAGCAAGGCTATCCAGTACCAATGCATAGTTCCATTGCTTTGCCGTGTTCTGTCACTCCCCATTTAAACTCGATTTTTACACAATACATTGGAATCGCCACAAAACCAATGTGTTCACTCGACGTCGGCACAACATACTTGACAGTGCAAAGATCACTGTTTCAATAGAAAGCAGGAGATCGTATCCCTCGGACATACGCCCACCCCTACCACTTCACTGATGTTAAAGTCGTACCATTGCTGTAGCCAACGTCGCAGAGCTGCAGGTTGCTGGGTAGCTCTAACAACATCTACATTTAACGCAATTGCACCTTCATGATTCATTGGCTATCCATTTAGCTCTTATAAGCAATAATACAATGACAAATTTGAAGAGAGCATCCACTGATTAACAAGAGAGCTACCACAATTTTGCATAGGAACATCCGTTTATTAGGCCGTCCCCTTGATTAAACGTTTCACTGACCTTCTTCATACAGCAGAATTCATAACCTTCCTCCGTCTTTCTTATCAGTTTTATGGATTGCCCGTTAGCAAGTGCAAGAGCATACCGACAGACTGTATGTCAGAAGATTCTGTACTTTGACGGATAGAAGCGAAAGCATCGCGGTATTGGTAAAGATTCTGCATTCGTTCTCACACACAAACCCGTATGAAGTGCTTTTTGGAAGTGGTTGTGGACATCGCTTTTCTCTCGCAATGATTTTCGTTCTCTTAAGCTGGTCCAGTAACCATGAGATAAAAATGGGTACGGCACGTTCTTATGTATTTTCACATTATCACATACTGTGCAGCAGCTACAGTGTGATGCATTTGGACAAATTGCTGCCTTCAAATTGTCTCCTTCTTGTGGGACACGCCGCGTCGCCGTTTCAGTGTACGCGTCGGACGTGCTACAGTGGCAGTTGTTTGAAAATGTGTCGACCGGGCTTAATTGTGCACTTGTTACAGTCAAAGATGATCACAAGCTCACACAAACTGCAAACGCGTTTAATTTCGCTTTCTAGTAACGACACCACTGCCTGTGAAATAATGATAGTCTTTTTCTAGCAAGCAACGAAGAAGAACGCGCATGATGCCGCGCGACCTTGTGTGGACAATGGTCGCAGCGAAACCTCGAAGCAAAGCGTGCTGAATTGCTGACATTACGGACCGCTGCCCCTTGACTTCCGAATGGCTCGCAGTAGGGGTCTTTACAACTCCACGTCCTTATGATGGAGCCGGGGCGAAAGGATTGACAGTATCATTATTGTATTTATTGGTGCATGCAGCGACATCTTTTGGCATTATCAAGATTAGCAATGGAGCCGATGCAGGAGCGACTGAATGTTTAATATCGTGAGCTGCAACACCAGGGGTGAAGACATAATGGCTCATCGTCATGTAGATGATAAAGTTACGTAGACGAGAAGAGTGATCTGACTGAGGCTAACTGTTGGATGTTCTCTAGCTAAATTGTGGCTGTTCTCTTGTTACTTAGTGGATGCTTTCTTAGCATTTGCCAGCATAGTTTACTAAGGTCTAATTAATAGTCTACAATTCGTGTAGGTGTATTCGGCCAATAACGTAGGTGTACTTAGAGTTACCCTAGGTTGCTGCAACTGGAACAAGAAGTTAAATCCAGCCAGTACAACTATACGACAGTGCCGCGTCAATCGCAAGACCAGCAAAGATTTGCGTGTGTGCTGAGCTCAATATAGCATCATTGCGCCAAATTTCAGCTCCAAGCTACAACATTTTCGCGTTTCTATAAATTTCTATCGTACTGCCAAATGACATGCTATCTGTTCGATTTTACCAAATGTACTGCAGTTACCATCTCAATTAGTATCACGAAGACTATTCGGCTCGACTTACTTCCTATCTTGCCACTCTATGTGCTTTTTTGTCACTAGTTGCGAGCCCGAAGGGTAAAGCTGTCAGTAAGTGGTCGCAAGGTGAATGCCGTACTCTAAATATCTACTTTCTGTTAGTGCATGTCTCTCTGCGTGTGTTTAAATGAGGTTAGGTGTACCTCACACGTCGTAATAAATGTGGCGAAGCTTTCATCCCCTCCTTATCGGTAGAAATGTACTATAGTTGCCACGCTTTGAGTGAGTCATTGATTACAACGGCATAGAAGTAAAAGTCCTACACACAAATGTACGCACGTGATTAGCCCGGAAGTCGTTCGGGTCAAATAAAGATAAAAATTGTTAACACAACTTATTAGAGATTCAAGCCACGCGGTCCTTCAGATCACCCTGGGGTGAACTGCGAGTACTGTTACTCAGTTCGAACTCCTCACAGGAACTGAACCCCTGATTCCACTATGAGGCTTTTCGGTCAGTAGGGCGTCCAACCCTCCCAGCTATCATACACCTTAGTGTAAGTTGGCAGGGCGGTCACTTCTGTGTGGTTGTTCGTCTACTGTATTGGCCTATCTCAGGCGCCCTTTAATTGAACCCACCCGGGGCCCTGTCATCGAATCCAATCACACGACACTTTAGAGCATGGAAACTATTGCACATTTGCCAAAATCTAGTCAGCATCGTTACTACCAATAGCAGCCCGGCAAGCAGCGACACGTCCGCCAGGAGCCAGGAATGAGGGAAGACTTTATCGTGTAAATACGCTAGAGTCTACACAGTCAACAAGAAATAGGTGACGTCATTTAAATAGGCGCCGCACCAAGAAGTTTTGTGCCAGACGTAACTCCCGATCGAGATCCACCACTCTCACTGCTTTTTGAGAGCAAACAACTAATTTTACTTTGGCTGAGAATTATAGTCTTCACCTTCGCATACGCCTCGTATATTTAAAATCTTTTTTTTTGTACAGGGGTGTAATGCAATGTTTTTAGATGTAATGATGTATGTTTGTATAAACCGACGATTTAAGAATTTGCGTGTCGGGAGCGTACAAAGACGCTCAATCCGATCAAAGTTTAAAATTATGATCATAACGCACAACTTTACCATCACCTTCTTTAGTATCAACATGGCAATCATTTTGTTTAATAAAAGAGCAAACAAATCATTTGAATAGTTTGATTGGCTCACGCACCATACTAAAAGCACATGTTAAGCTATTTCTACCAGTGCTGTCCGTGCAATCTTCCAATATCTTGAAGCTTAACAGTAGCACCTCACATCTAGCCTTTTAGAAGTTTTTTACTAACGATGATTGAGGTGCCTGAAGACTACTAATTGTCACTCTTGACAATTGTAATGTAAGATTCTAAGGTAGAAAATCTCTATCGGTGCCTGGGAAGCTTAATTCCAGGCAGATAGCAATGTCTGCCTAAATGAGACGCTTCTTCAGACCAATCTCACGCTAAATTGCCTCAATAATTATGGCTGCCTTTTTCATTGGGCATATACACATGTATCATATCAAACTGTACAAACCATTGTCTGCTTGGTAGTAGTGCTGTGATTGTCGAAGATGTGCACCAAACCAAGAGCCGTTCGAAGAACCTCACGGACCCCGAACGCACTAGTATACTCCTTTTTGTGCTGGTGCTAACATGAAGGTAAGTTAAGATGATTTTGACAAGAGGGCGCTAACATATGCATGTTATGTGAAGTCTATAATGAGAGTATGTAAGCGTGGTCGCGAAAAAATGGTTCTCTCATCAGACCTACTAGATGAACGATCCAATTTGAAAAGCAAGGTAGGCAAGGAAAGGACTAAGTCGTTTGCAGCTATATAGAAAACGGAAGGTGTTGCCGTACAGAAAGCAAAAAGCACTGCGATCTTTGGGACACGCGACGGAAGTGTCAGAATTACTCGATGATACGCCGGCACCATGACATCATGGCGACGACCAACACTATCGCACCCCTTCCGACATGTGAGAATAACGAGCGCGAGCGTAAAGCTTTTATCATTCAATTTGCCTATGAGTCGACACTGCTCACCTTCCCTGTGTACGACGTAATATATCTCGATAAGAAGTAGTTTTACATGATACGAGCGTCCAAGCGGATTTACCTGTCTATTAACGAGCCGGCGCCACTCTAGTATTTATTTTTATTTAATATATCAAATGAGTTCACAGTGCTAATACGAGTAAACTTACGTGTAATTTTAAAGACGGTGTAAAAGCAAGAATTTAATCGGTAAGGTAAGTTTATCAGAAGCAGTCGCCAGTTCGAGAAAGAAGGCTGTAATGGGGTCACACGCGGTTTTCTAACCGGTTATGTTGTGTGTCCACACCAAGTAAAGATTGGTGGATCTGAGTAATGCCGTCTTATTACCATGTACGTACGGTAATACCGCACCTTATCGGGTTAGGATAAGGGATCAAACTTCTGTCATAAGACCATTATGTAGAAGTCATTCAGGCAAGGTTTTAGCATTTTATTACCATACTTTAAAAATAAATAAATTTCTGTTTTCCTTTTGATTTGGCGGACGTCCGTGCCTAGT